CAATAGTAATCCCTTACTTTACTCGTTACTTGAAAAAAGTAATCAGATTACCCATCTCTGGTCATGACTAAGCGCAGAATTTACACTCCAGCATTTACTCTGTGTAGAGGCTGAAAACCCCCATCATGCTGTATTTGGATGTTTACATGTTGTAGTCATGTAACATTAATATATCTGACAGTAATCACATTTTCCACTCTCTCTGCGTCTCCATAGCCCAGTGGTGCGTTCCCTGAAGGAAACGGGGAGTGTGGAGCCAGAGCTGTTTGAGGAGGTCACCATCTATTTCAGTGATATTGTGGGATTCACCACCCTCTGCTACTACAGCACCCCCATGGAGGTGGTCGATATGCTCAACGAAATCTACAAGAACTTTGACAGCATTCTTGATCACCATGATGTCTACAAGGTAGCTTAGCAGGATAACAGAAACCCAGGCCTCTACTATCAAGGAGGTCACAATTTCTTTAAGCATTAATCTATAATTTCTAAGAAAGTGCTTAGGGTTAGACATAAATATTTTCTTTTTGAATAAAGACAAAGATTTTATAGATAAGTTACATTTCCATTGTCTCGTAGGTTGAAACAATAGGAGATGCTTACATGGTTGCATCCGGTTTGCCCAAACGTAACGGCAACAGGCATGCATTGGACATTGCCCACATGGCCCTGGACATCCTATCATTTGTGGGGACGTTTGAGCTGGAGCACCTGCCTGGGATTCCTCTATGGATCCGTATTGGTGTACATTCAGGTACCAGAGATTCACAATGATTTTACTATGGTCTCATCCGAATTTTGCAAGAGTTGGGATGCTGTGTAAAATCTAAATAAAGACAGAGTTCAATGATCTACAAACTTCATAAAGCCACAAATGATGTTCACAACAGAGAATAAAAAATACATCAAATGTTTAAATTGAATAAATGTAACATTTTATGAAAACTCCTGGCAACTGTTGGTTAACAGCAGCAACAAAAAGCTGGAAAAAAGAGGAGAAAATATAGAATTTCTTATCAGTAAAGATTGGCAGAGGTTCACAGATCTGCAAAGATTTTAAGTCTCAAAATTATGGAACAATTTTATAATAATGGTCCTCAAAGTGAAATTGTGAAGACTTTGACAAACTGATCATCTCTACACTAGATATTATGATCACAGATTGAGATATCTGCAGTAATCTCGCCGTGCAAGGGCCAAGACTGAAAATCAATACAAAGATACTTGTGATCTTTGGACTCTCAGGCAGCGCTGCACTAAACACAGACATGATTCTGTCACTGCATGGGCTCAGCAACACTTCCAAAAATCATTTTCCGTGAGCACAGCCGACCGTGCCATCTACAAATACAAACTCTATCATGTAAAAAGGAAGCCAAACGTCAACATGATGCAGGAACACTTCTGTCTATGCTAAGCCAAAACTCATTTAAAATGGACTGAGACAAAGTGAAAAAGTATTTTGTAGTCAGATGAATCCAAACATTCTTTCTTTTTCTTTTT